TATATAATTTTTATTATCCTTGTGAAATAAATGAACATGGTTGTTTGTTCATTAAACTGGGTGATAATTCTTTAGATGTATGAATATTAAGTAGGTTCTACTATATCTAATTATAAAAGTTGTAAATGTGTTTAATGGATAAAATGTACATTTTTTCTATTCTGTACAGCTTTGTCTTTTTAAAATATGAAATACTTAAATGCATTACTTTGATAGGAAATATGTGTGCCTTCTAGGACTGTGAAATGTTCTCATGTCTGTAAGTTATAGTTTTCCCTATCCTAACTCAGTAACAAAGGATTTCTCATGATGTAGTTTGAGAAAATGAGTTTGACTACATCCTGAATTTAGAGGTTAAGAATACTGTTCCCTCTTATTCTTAGAAAATGATAAATTGTTCAATAAATGATCATTAGCAAGTAAGTTTTACCTAATTGAAGGCCTTTATTTTACATTCTTTATACTAAATATTTATATTCCTGGGGGGTTGTGATGTTTGTGTACTATAATTTGAAAATCATTTCAAATTGAGTTTAATTCCCATAGATCATATATGTGTATACATGTTTGGGTTTTGGGTTTGAGGTTTGCTTTGTTTTGTATTCCTTACTGAAGCTTACTTTCTTAGTAATAAGAAAATACTTGGAAGGTCTGAGGGAATGGTTTAAATGGTAGGGTTCTTGTCTTGCATGTGGGAGGCCCTGGCTTCAATCCCCAGTACCTCAAAGAAAAACAAAACGACTTGGAAATTAGGGAGATCAGCTGATCACCCACATTAATGGTGGGCAACACAATGACACTACAATAGAAACATTTACTAATAGAGTTTTGTTATCATGTCTTCTTAACCTATTGGACAATTAAAAATGGATAAAATACTCCACCCTGTGGTAGTTTTGTGTTTTTCTTGTAAAATTATTTCCATGATTTAAGAATGTAGAGAAACATTCTAGAATCTTAGTGCTAAGAGGAAAAAAAATGTATAAGAGTAAGAGGCAAGCCTGATGACGGTGGCTCACACTTGTAATTCTAACCACTGGGGAGGCTGAGATTTGAGAAATGTATTTCAAAGCCAGCCTGCTTTATCTCCAATTAACCACTTAAAATCCAGAAGTGGCAACAGTGCTTAAAGTGGTGAAGCGCTAGCCTTGAGCAAAAGAGCTCAGGGTTTGGGTGCAGTCTCTGAGCTCAAGCCCCATGACTGACCCCCAAAAAGGGGGGAGGCAACATATTCAGACTTGCTGATGGTTTGGGGTTGGTTGGGGGGGGTTGCTTTTTTTTTTTTTTTTGGTTGTGGGGCTTGAACTCTGGGCCTTGGCGCAGTCCCTGAGCTCTTCAGCTCAAAGCAAGCATTCCTGCTACTTGAGCCATAGCACCACTTCCAGTTTTCTGGTGGTTTGTTGGAGGTAAGAGGGTCACGGACTTTCCTCCTGGCTTTGAACAATGATCCTCAGATCTCAGCCTCCTAAGTAGCTAGGATTACAGGCATGAGCCACTGGTGCCTGGCTTCAAATTGTTGATGTTATATCATCATTGTACTGTGAAAAATTCACATTTTTTATCAAAATTCATAAAAGCTAGGTTCTAGAGGCTTGTGTCTATCCTCCTAGCTAATTGGGAGACTACACAGTTCCTAGGAAGATTAGTTTGAAGCCAGCCTGAGCAGAAAAAGTTGCAAGGCCCCTTCTTAACTTACAGCTGGATATGGTGGCTTGTACCTGTCCACTTAGCTTTGTAGGAGGCTGAAACTGGGAGGATAAAGGTTTACCTGTTATCCTTGCCACAACAGGAAGTCAAAAAGTAGTTGGAACAAACCAGCACCAGTGGCTCAGCCACTCAGGAGGCTGAAATCTGAGGATCAAAGTTTGAAGCCAGTTCTGGCAGAAAAGTCTGTTACTCTCCAATTGAAATTAACTTCCAGCAAAAAGCTGAAAGTGGAGCTGGGGCTCAAGTGGTAGAGCACTAGCCTTGAACAAAATAGTTCAGGGACAGAACCCAAGCCTTGAGTTCAAGCCCCAGAACCGGCAAAAAAAAAAAAAGTTGGACCTTGGTCCAACTTTAAAAACCCATGACCTCAACTTAAAATTTTCCATCACAATAAAGAACTAGAGATGTGACAGTAGAGCACCTGCCTAGCAAACAGGAGGCCCTGAGTTCAAAATCACCAAAAGGAAAAAGGGTGCTGATAAGGCCATATCTGTAATCCTAGCTACTCAGAAGCTGAGCTCTGAAGATCATAGCTTAAAAGCCAGCCCAATAATACAAATCTGACTCATTTCCTATTAACACGCAAAAAGCTGGAAGTAGAAGCATAGCTCAAATGGTAGAGTACCAGCCTTGAGCAGAAAAGTTAAGCAATAGCAATGAGGCAATGCAGGCAAGCCCTAGCACCATCTCTCTCTCTCTCTCTCTCTCTCTCTCTCACACACACACACACACACAACACTTAAACCTTACATGTATTTTGTTAATCATATATTTGTAGTCTTACTATCTTGTCTTTCTCTTACTAGGAACCTCTTTAGAGGCTGAGGGTACAAAAATTTCCAAGAAGCTGTTGTATATCTGTGACCTGTGTTCCTTTTATTGGATTTATACTTACCAGTCACAGGTCATTCACAACATTTAGGTATACACAACCATCAGTGTACTTCATTTGTGTCTACAAATCCAGGAAAAGATGAATATTGTTTCATCGGGGTACTCCTCAGGAATAAACAGTAAGCCAGCAGGATGTGCTTTCCCTCTGCTTTAATCCAAGAGAAAGTAAAGGTCTGGGAATAGGCTCTGATAATTCCAACCCAGGATCTGCATCCTGTGTTAGACAAAGAGCAATGATGATTGTTTCCACAGTACATTTTGAACATACAAAACGAACTTTAGGCCTTTGGAGTAAGAGAGAAAACATTGCCTTGAAAACCATTTCTTTAGAAACCTGGGTCAATAACTGGGTGCCAGTGGCTTATGATTGTAATCCTAGCTACTCAGGAACTGTGATGAGGATCATCACAGCAAACCAAAGAGCAGGGATCATCTAACAGGCTCATAAAAAGTGATTTAATGAGAGTTCGAAGTACTGGAGAAAAAGTGTCTAGAAAACTTGTAGGACGGGCAAAAATCACACAAGTTGGGGAGCCAAGAAGACAATAGCAAAAGGAAAATAAATGAAGATGGATGACAACTATTAATAGCAGAAGTTAGAGGTCAGTAAGCTTTGGCTTGTTTGCCTAGTGAATATCATCTATGCCTTAGCCTTAGTAAAAGTAAGTCAATTGTTATTAATAGTTTTCATTATGCTCAATTGCAAAGAATAAAAACTTAAAACACTTAAGACACTAACTTTAAATTGTTATAAATTATTGGGTCATAGTCCTAGTAGATTTTATTTAATAATTTTTAAAAATATTTGATACAGGTAGAATGACAATGAAAAACTATACAATTCTTTCTATGTTAGAGCAAATATATACAAATGGAGGCATTTCAAAAATAATCCCTAAGGTGATGTCTTTTTATTCAATGTCACAAGTAGCTCTATAACATAGCATACATAGTTTCCCACTAAAAAGATGATATTTATACTTCCATATGCTAAACTGACCATTGGAGGGGGAGGCATGACACAGGACAAGACAATCTGAAGTGAAGTAAGCATACCCCAAGCAAAATTGGGTGTCTTCAAATTCAAAATGGTTAGATAGAAGGTCCATGAGAAGCTTGTTAAGTACTCAGAGCTTATATACTTGCTGAAAGAGAAATTAATCCAGTTATTCCATGTGCATTTGTTGAGCACCTACTATGTGCCAGGCACTAATTACAACAATGAAGAGTACATTGACAAAGCTTAACTTCAGACTGGACTTCAAAAATGCTTTCTACCTGGCCTGGGGGCCACTATTATCTTCTGAAGGAAATTTTATAGTGAAGAGAGATTTTTTCCTTTAAAATAAAATGCGCCATGTTACAGGTTTCTTATTGTTATTGTTCAGTGTAGTATTTGTGATGCCTAGTAGAATAGTGAGCAAAGAGTGAATTGGGAACAGGAAAAGTGAGTTCTAATCCTGTTGTCATAAATTGTGTAACTTTAAGCAAATGACACTTCTCTGGCATAACTCTGAATAGGTAAAAGGCTAATTGGATTATAAATTGTAGGATACTGGAGTGAAAGGTACAGACCATATGGTCCTGTGCTTTTCAGAATCCTTCATTCAAGTGAAAATATTAACAGCTCTAGTGTAAAACTGACAAGAGTCACTTTGACAGCCCCCTGAATCTCACTCACCCTGTTTCTTCCCTCACCTTGAAGAGGTCCATGAGGGTCCACAGAAAACCTTCACTCTCTAGTAAAGGAAATCAACATAAAATAGAAGTGACTATTAATGAGCATATATGGCTTCCAACTAAAGAGGAAGGAGGAGGGCTAAAGAGAATAGGTTAAGAAATTCATTTTTTTAACATAAAATTTCCTAGAAAGGAGTCTTCTGTTTTCTCTCAAAGTAGGCCCTTTATGAAAGGGAACTTTGAAATTGATTGTGTTTAAGGCAATCAGCCAGGGAGGGGCTGAAATAAACAACCAGCAAGTAAGCCTACAGGACTGACCTAGGGAAGGTGGCAGAAAACACACAGACTTCATGTTGCCCGGCATTTGACTGACAATTCTAGCACTGGTGGTTACAAGAGAAATAAGTGGAAAATGAGGAACTTCAGACAAGTGCCAGATCCCTGAGCAGAAGCTCCCATCTCTCACTCAGACATATTAATACAAGGCTGGGTACCAGTGGCTTACATCTATAATCCTAGCTACTCAGGAGGCTGAGATCTGATTATCACAGTTCAAAGCTAACCCAGACAGTAGAGTATTTATCTCCAATTAACCACCAGGAAACTGGAAGTGGCACAGTGGCTCAAAGTGATAAAGCGCTAGCCTTGAGTAAAAAAGCACACAGATAGTACCCAGTCCCTGAGTTCAAGCCCCACAACTGACATACACACCCCCCAAAAAAGTGAGCAGTGCAAATCACAAGTTAGAAACTTCTTCAGAGGCTTCTCTTCACAGAGAAAGTCCTATCTTGGTATCTTGTCCACTAGCCCCCACAGACCTGAAATTAAACCAAAAAGTGAATGTGCATGTTGAATGATGGACCTATTTGGTCAGGGCTGTGATCTCTTCAGATTTCATGGCATCAGACAGGAAGCTAAGCTCATTGCATAAAGTCTCGTATCGGAATGCCATCCGAATCTGAGCCACATTTGTCTTTCGGATGTCGTTTCCTTCAGGTCCTTCTTTATAATAGTTCTCTCCCAAAAACTTCTGTTTTTCCTAGGGAACAAAGAAAATAGGCAGCTTTGATTTTAGCCCCAGCAAACAGATTGGTTCCCCTGAAGCAGTTCCTCAATCAGGACATCATCCATAGCACTCAAAATCCTTCCTGGCCTCCATGTTCTTGAGGATGTCACCTGATCTCAGTCCCTTCATGCCTAGGACTTCCTTGACCAGAAAGGAAAGAAGCTGCCATGGGTAGTAAGGTCTTAAGATTAATTAAGAATCCCTCCTGAGGTGACAAGGGCAGAGAGACAAGTTTCTGGGGAGGACAAGTCATAGGAGCAACTACATAAAAACTTAAGCTTTAAAAAATCTTCCCTGTTTTGACTCTGAGGTCTCTGATCCATTTGGAGTTGACTCTGGTGCAGGGTGATATATAAGGATCTAGCTTTAGTTTTCTACAAGTGATTCACCCATTTTGCCGGCACCATTTACTGAAGAGGCTGTCTTTCTTCCATTCTATTTGTTTAGCTCCCTTATCAAAGATTAGATGGCTATAGGTCTGTGGGTTCATTTCTGGGTTTTCAATTCTATTCCACTGGTCCTGAGGTCTGTTCTTGTGCCAGTACCAAGCTGTTTTGATTACTATGGCTTTGTAGTAAAGTTTGAAATTTGGTATTGATATTCCTCCAGGACTCAAATGTTTTTTCTTTCTTGCTATTGTTTCTAACATATAAGATATTTCTTTGTTGCTTTGTATGTCCCTCCCCCACAGTATAACCCGTTTTCACTGTATTTGATGTTGGTATAATTTGTGGAGGAGAAGGGAAAAAAACAAATTGTTTAAATAGGGATACAGGTGGACCCATTGCAACAATGAGATGTACAAGACATTATGTTGAAAAACGAACCTTACAACTTTGGCACGGGGTGGGGGGGGGCACTGTGGACAGCGGGGAGGAGATGGGAAGGAGAAACAAAGGAGGAGGCAACAATGCTTGATAAGAAATGTACTCATTACTTTGTTCATGTAATTGTAACCCCTCTGTACGGTATTTTCACAATTAAGAAAAACTATTTGTATATTAATAGGGTTTGAGGAGTATGTCCACGTGAAGTTCCGTAGGTGAGCCATGCCTTACCTGATAAAAATAGTTATTACTCTGTGACTTCATTGAAACTTTGAATCTCAGAGTTGCATAATTAAAGTAGACATGTGCATTGAGGTAGCTCAATGAATCCAACAGAGACTTTCTCTGAATAAAAATCCTAATTATTTTTAAAAAGTTCCTGTATCATCACCCACAATATTACTAACATCCCCAAGGGAAGTACCCAAGAAGCAGCCAGAGAATGTTCCCACTACCAGCTCTATGTCAGAATCATGCAGGAAGCTATACAAAAAAATGCTGGTGCCTGGTTCTCAGCTATTCCAGAGGAACAGCGTGCCTGCTCTTTGCCAGCATGATTCTAGTCTATGGATAAAATGTGGAACAAGCCCCAGTGCTCAGCTTCCATTCTAGAGAGAAAGACGTGCACGTGTTGTCTGTAGTGATAAAAGCTATGAAGAAAGGCAGAAGAAGCGGATAGAGGAGGAGGACAAGTGTGTGTCTGCTTCGGAATAGATGACCAGGGAAGGCCTCTTCAAAGAGGTGACCTTGAGTACAGCACTGAAAAACTTGAGTGAGCAGCCATGAAGTTCAGGTGACTCCTAAGGATTGTCCCTGGCCTGCCTGTCTATGCTCAAAGGCACTGTTTGTTCTGTCTCTCATGAATCCTAGAATTTAGCGGACACCTGCCACACAGTAGACACTCTTCGCCCATTTGTTAAAAGGATGGGAGGGACCAACAGCCCCATCATGCACCATACCTGATGTGAGAGGCCGCTCTGCAGCACACTGTTCCTGGCAATCTCACACAGGTCACACGTGCTCAGCTTCCATACTTGTGCTGCAATGGCATATTCCTCCATCAGTGCTTCCTACACCCTCCCCCAAAGCACATGGATTAGACAGGAAAACGTCCACTTCCAAACTTCACAGATCTCCCAAGCTAAAAACAATGTACATGGCATCTGGATCAAGCAAGATCACACCTAAAATTGCCAATTTTTAAGATCTTCTCATGTGAGTTCATGGTTTATTGGAAATAAAAGCACATTTATGCCTTTCATTTGTTTGTTGACCAGTATTAAGCAGCTGTCCTTTTGAAACCTGATGCCTGTCATTGGGGATGTCAGTCTGCTCCACGTGACAATCTAGGTGGTTTTCCTTGTGCCAGTCAAAGCCTAAGCACTGTCCCTGAGGGTTTTTTTTTCTCTTATTTTCCTCAAGGCTAGTGCTCTACCACTTGAGCCACAGTTCCACTTCCAGAGTTTTAGTGATTAATTGAAGATGAGTGTCACAGTCTTTCCTGCCCACATTGGCTTTGAATTGCAATCTTCAGATCTCAGGACCTCCTTTGTAGCTGGGATTCCATGCAAGAGCCATGGGCACCCCTAGGATTCCATGCATGAGCCATAGGCACCCAGCTTTCACTCAACTTTTTTTTTTGGCTGGGGAGGGCGGGGAGGTCCAGTCGTGGGGCCTGAACTCTGGGCCTGGGCGCTATCCCTCAGCTCTTCAGCTCAAGGCTAGTGCTCTACCATTTGAGCCACAGCGCCACTTCCGGCTTTTTTCTTTTTGCTTATTTGGTGCTGAGGAATCAAACCCAGGGCCTCAGGCATGCAAGGCAAGCGCTCTACAACTGAGCCACCTTCCCAGCCCCTCACTCAACTTTTTTGCTCACAGCTGTTGCTCTACCACTTCAGCCACATCTCTAGTTCTAGCTTTTGCTGGTTAATTGGAGAAAAGAGACTGGCTGGCTTCAAACTGCAATCCTCATATATCAGTCTCTTAATGTAGCTAGGATTATAAGCACAAGCCATCAACATCAAGCAGAGCAATTCCTGTTAAAAGGGATTTCCCTAGGTCAATTAAATTTTGCTCTTTTACTCAAGCAAATCAAAACAAAAAAGACACATAAATGGTACATTTCCCTGAAGTAGTACAGTCTAAGAACTAACCAACCACATGATCCAACATCCTTTAAGGAAAAACCAAGTGAGGAATAGGAATAATGTAATTAGCAATCGTTTAATCAACAAGTATATTGGTTACAGCTTAGTTAATTGTAGCTTAGTTAATTAGCTCCATGGCCTCCAATAACCAATCAAAACAGTTACTACTAGTAGTCCATATTGGTCTGGTCTGTTGGGTCCAGACTAAGCAGTCTTCTACAGAAGTTTAACACCATTCTAGACAAGCTTATTTTTGGTACCAGCTCTTCAGCTTTGCTTTTTTTAACTTACTACAATGTTTTCTTAAGATTGTCCAAAAGTCGGGGCTGGGAAGATGGCTCAGTGGTAGAGCGCTTGCCTTGAATGCATGAGGCCCTGGGTTCGATTCCTCAGCACCACATAAGCAAAAAGAAAAAAGCCGGAAGTGGCACTGTGGCTCAAGTGGTAGAGGTAGAGCGTTAGTCCTGAGCTGAAGAGCTGAGGGACAGCGCCCAGGCCCAGAGTTCAAGCCCCACGACCGGACCCCCCCGCAAAAAAAAAAAAAAAAAAAAAGATTGTCCAAAAGTGCCAGGTGCTGGTGGCTCACAGCTGTAATCCTAGCTACTCAGGAGGCTGGGATCTGAGGATCAAATTTCAAAACTAGTTGGGGCAGAAAAGTCTATGAGGCTGTTATCTCCAGTAAACTACTCAGGAAAAGCAGGAAGTGGTGCTGTGGTTCAAATGGTAGAATGCTAGCCTTAAGTAAAAAGCTCAGGGACAGCACCAAAGCCCTGAGTTGAAGCCCCAGGATTTGGGGGCTGGGGATGATTGTCCAAAAATAAAAGTTAATGTGAGTATAGTAAGATCAGAGATGGAAGATTATGAATGAGAAATGATCTTAAGACACGAGGCGAGATAATGTAATCCCAAAAGGGCTAGGTTGGGGCTGTGGTCCTATTTTCTCTTCTGTGATGTGAAATGTCTGTCATGAATCACCAGCTTTCCTGTAATCTTTTCCCCATCTATCTCATTGCCTCCATCTTCTGGATCAGTGGTTCTTCAAGTGTGGTCCAAGGACTTGTAGACCTAAAGACCTTTTGAAACTTAACTCTCCTTGCCAACTATGTATTTTTGCTAAGCAAGATTATTTTCAGATGCTTTATCAACAAATTATAGAATTAGACATGAGACTCCAGATGTCTTCTATTAAGTAAGACATTAAGGAGATTTGCAAAATTGAAAAACAATGCTACTCCTTGGTATTTTTAGAAGTATTTTTCATTAAAAAATGGTATTTATTAACACTTAAGTTCACTAATAAATATTTTTAAATTTTTCATTAGTTTCTAACATAGCAAATATCAGTAGATATAACTTGTATCAACTATAACTCTTTGAGGGCTTCAACTCTTCAGAGCACAAAGGGGTCTACAGCCCAGAAACCTGGATAAGCTTGGTGCTAGACAACTCCAGTGTTTGTATTTTTGCTAATTAGTGACTGATCTTGTTAATATCAAAATGTGCCATTAAGCTCAAAATAGCGGCTCAAGCCTGTAATTCTGGCTACTCAGGAGACTTAAGTTAGGAAATTACAATTTAAAACCAGCCCAGGTATAAAAGTTTGAGGAATTGCCGGGCACCGGTGGCTCATGCCTGTAATCCTAACTACTCAGGAGGCTGAGATCTGAGGATCGCAGTTCAAAGCCAGCCCAGGCAGGAAAGTCCGTGAGACTCTTATCTCCAATAAACCACTAGAAAACCGGAAGTGGCACTGTGGCTCAAGCGGTAGAGCACTCACCTTGAGCTGAAGAGCTGAAGGACAGCACACAGGCCCAGAGTTCAAGCCCCATGACCGACAAAAAAAAAAAGTTTGAGGAATCTACACCTACCCTCCCCAATTTTCAACCAATTGCTGAGTACAGTGGCACAGGCCTGTAATTCCAGCTGCTACAGGAGAAGTACAATGGCTAGGCACAGTGGCACATATTTGATTTCCCCATAAGGGGAAGGCACAGTAGGATTGCAGGTCAGGTCAGGACAGACAAAAAGTGAGACCCACCATCACAATAACCAGTGCAGCCGGCACCGGTGGCTCACGCCTGTCATCCTAGCTACTCAGGAAACTGAGATCTGAGGATTGCAGTTGAAAGCCAGCCCTGGCAGGAAGGTCCATGAGACTCCAATTAACCACCAGAAAACTGGAAGTGGTGCTGTGGCTCAAGTGGTAGAGCACTCGCCTTGAGCTGAAGAGTGCAGGGACAACCTCCAGGCCCAGAGTTCAAGCCCCACAACCAACAAACACAGCAACAACAAAAAACATGCAGACAACAGCTAGAGGTGTGGAAACAGTAGGGCACCAGTCTAGCAAGTGCAGGAATACTTGCAGCTGGTTCCCATAGATGACATCGCCTTTCTTTTTTCTTTCCCCCAGAGATCCCAAGTGTAATAATATTAATAAAAATACACCTCATATGCATGCTAAGTACAGATGTCTTAGCCCCTGTTATAGTACATTCTAGCTCATTGTCGTAATGAAGGCAGAGGTCATTTTATGCCTATTTTATAGATGAAGAGGAATACAATACAGGTTACAGGGCTAGACATACCAAACAAAGGGAAAATGGAGAAAGGCAGAGATGAATAAAACTACCTTCAAGAGCTCAGGACTCCAAAGTGGGTTATGGGAAGAAAGACATCTTTCCTCACCAGCCGACCCCTAAAGACAAACTGAGCCCTAGCTTGTTTTCCCACTGAGAAAGGCCAGGTCTGGACTGAGGCCTGCTGGGACACCACTGCCTTCCCTCCCCACAGACCCTCACCTTGGTGTAGTGGAACTGCATGGGGTCGTCGGTGGAGAGAGAAACGTGCAGTCCCTTGTGCAGGAATTCCCGAAGAGGGTTCTTAGAATATTCCAGGAATAGGCTGTTGTTGCTAAGAGGAGACATGGCAATGGGGATCTGAGCAAGGTAGTAGAGATACTGCAATACCGGACTCTGCAAGAAAACCACCATACGCTGTGACACGCACCATCATGGAGGGAGGGCAAGCATTCATCAGTGGAAACCACAAGTTGGGCAGTATCTGTGCAGGTCCCCAACTGAGCCAAAGTTCCCTAAAGTCATACAAACCCTTTCCTTCCCCCCCCCCGTGTTCCTCCCATTGCTGCATGCTAGCCCCATGGGCAATGGCCTCCTGCCCAGTTTGAAGTACCCACTCTTGGCTTCCAGTTGGAGGCGCAGCTGGAGGAAGGAAAGAAGGGGGCCTCGTTTTTCATCTTCTATTCACCTCCCTAAAGTGCTTCCCTAAGGCGCCATGCCATGAGACCTGCACACGTGGAGTTTGTTGTTTGATGGGAAACAACCTCGGTGAGACTAAATAGTACCCTCTCAGAGATGAACCATGAAGAGACTAGTAGGGGCTGAGCTGGATGGGCTACAACAGGTATAATTTGCAACATCGCCCATACTGAAATGAGAACTGAGGGTGGGTCCACCGGGACTGTGGCACAGGAGCAGTTTAACAAACTGTATTCCTCTGGGAAGACTGACACCCAGAGTCCACAGTAGCATGATTGACATGGCAGGAGAAGCTAGACAGCTGCTGACACCACCCCACCCCTCCCCCAACCAGGCAAGTGGCTTATAGATGAAAATGCCATTGTTCATCTACAAGGCCTATAACATGAGGAGCCTGGGTATTATAATGTAGTGCAGGAAAATGTGATTCTGAATTCTGTGTTTATTGTGTGTTTTGTGCCAGTTTGGGGGCTCAAACTCAGCACCTGGGCATTGTCCCTGAGATTTATTTTTTTTACTCAAGGCTAACTGTACTCTATCACTTGAGCTACAGCTCTAGTTCTGGCTTTTTGGTAATTGGAGATAAAAGAGTCTCACAGACTTTCCTGCCCAGGCTAGCTTCATACTACAATCTTCACATTGCAGCTTCCTGAGCAGCCAGGATTACAGGCAACCATAATAAATGTTTTAAAAATATGCCGTAGATGAAAGAAAGATGAGTGTTGGAATTGCTTTAAAAAGAACTAATAAAGTTCTTTCTATTAAGTGATTGCAAGGAGATTTTCATTTCTTTACTTTTGGGGAAATTGAGATGTGTCTGGTTATATGACTTTCATAATTAAAAATGAATCCAAGATAACCATAGATAGCCTGATTCAGAAAAAGAAACTCATGATCTACTAGAGGCTTTCAGCAGTAGGACGGGAGCCTCAGCGGACCCAAGGCACCCACTTACCTTCTTGAGGAGTAGTCCATGGGAAATGTTGTCAGCAGTTAGGAAGGCAGATACCAGGTGGGTGATGGAGCCAGCCTCCCCACAGTGAGGCCGGAACAGAAATGTGCTCAGGCCTCGCTCTCTGTAGGAGAAGGGAGGCTCCAGGTCAGAAAGCACTCTTGGTTCACAGCCTGGGGCCCACACTCCCAGCCCAGAACCTACTTGCTCCAGAGGAGACTGTCACCACAGCACAACTAAGCACAACTGGCCCCTAGTGCACCCTAGAAATGACTCCTAAAATGCAGACTCCCAGGCCCAGAGCCATTCAGAGCCAAAAGGCATGATCTCCCAAGCAGAGATAGAGCCCATCTGTCAAGGGCGATGCTGGCATCTCTACCCACCTCCTCTCCAGGTCTGCGTCCCTCACTCAGAGACCTCAGAGCCGGACACAACACGAAAAACCAGCAAGTCCACCCTCTCTGTTATAGAAATGGGCAAACGAAGACCAGGAGAGAGTGAGATCTGAGCTCAAAGCCACTGAGCAGGTCAAAAGCAAAGCTAGAACCTCAGCTCAAGATTGCCTCTACCCCAAGCCCAGGCCTCTTCGCTCAACTGCAGTTGGTACCTTTGGCTGTGGATATGATGGTAGGGTGTGTGCACGTGAGGCTACTTGTGGGAGTTGAGTCTATTTGGCTCTTTGTCTGTCCAATGCCTGGACAGTGCCTATCTCACAGCAGCATGACTCACGTGGAAAGCACCAAATGCAAGTGTTCACATTGCATTCATTGGCAAGTAAACCTGCATGTCCTGTGTTTCTACTGTCTCGGGGCTATACAGACCACACGGAGATGTGTGTTGGTGAGTATGTGTACATACGAACATGTGGGTGTATGTGGTGGTGTGTCACGTCACTGTACACGTCTATATTGACTTGGGCATTATAATAGGCATGACTGATTGTGATTATGTGATACGTGCCTTGTGTAGTTTCCTGGAAAATATCCACATGAGCACACGGACAGGTGTGTTGGCTGAAGTACACACAGACACGTGGGAGTGTGCTGTACGCGTTCTGCACAGGGAGGGGTCATTGATAGAGGCAGGTGATAGAGCATTGATAGAGCAGGTGGCACGCCTCACCCACCTGCGGAGGTTGTTGAGCACCATGATGTTGGCATACATGTAGTACAGGTAGTAGCTGTACGGGGGGTTCTGCTCGCTGGTCCAGATGTCTGGGCTGGGGCTCTTTTCTGAGAACATGTGGTCACTGTGCTTAGACTCATCATCCACGCTGTCGAACCCTGTTACCTGTGTAAGGGGAAGATCCTAAGCATCAAACCAAGGTGGAACAAGACAGACTCAGGCTGTGCTCAGCGTCCTGTGGCCCAGAGCTGAGCTGCTGGAAGCCTGAGTCCAGGAATTTACACTTCAGCTGGAGAAGGCCCCATTCCTCCCCAGTCTGCAGCCCCAAATACCTAAACAGCCCCTCCCCCTGCCCTCGTCTCTCTCTCTCTCCCTGCCATCCCTCGCCTTCCTCCCTGCTCTCCCCTTATTGTTGGCAGGAGTCTCCAAATGATACATCCTCCACCTTCTATAAAGCTGGGCACCTGGGAGCATCTGGCCTTTTCCCTCCTGCTCCCTCCAGTTTTCGCTCAGGTCCACTTGAGTCCACACCAGTCCCTTCTCTCCAAGCCCACTCCTGCCCTGCCCTGCCCTGCCCTGCCCTGCCCACCCAAGGCCTCAGGCTGACTGCCCTACCTGGGAGGCAATATGTCATGGAGTTGGGTTCTCCTGCATACGAATCCCACATGAAGGGCTGTCAGTGAGCTCTGTTTAATACTCACAAGAGCCCTGCAAAGTTCCTAGCTTCTTGAGGAGATTAGGCACAGATATTGCCAAGCAAGAAAGTGGTAGAACTGCTCTGCTGCTTACTAACACATCAGAGATTAAAAAACAAAACAAAAACAGGGTAACTGTGAGGCTGACGTGACCCTGTGGTGTACAACTGGGCAGGGCAGCAAGACGTGAGGCAAATGTCAGCTGCATCCCTGGTCCCGGTGGGGGCCACATTCCCAGGGGACTTCCATCCTACAGATGCCCCCTTAGTTTAGAGAGTCAGCTTCTTGGGGCTGATGACTCCATACTTAGGATACAGGGCTCCATAATCTGAGACAAGAAGCCATAGTATGTGGGGGGGGGGACAGGAAGCCTGACTAGGCCCCCGGGGAAAGCCACCTCCTCTGCAACACTGAGCTTGCCTAGGCCCCCACCCCACTTACGTATTTGAGGAACAGGTGAAGCTCCCGGTGATCTTGGGGGTTGATTGTGGCCTTGAAAAGAGGCAGAAAGATGTTCTCCAGCATCTTCCCAAAGTTTGGCAGTAGCTTCTTTGACCTAAATATGTCACTGGAGGGAAGCAAGACTCATTTGTTAGGTGGATCCCAGAGTGACCCTGGCTTGTCAAAGACTGGCCTCTGGGAGTGAAAGTAGTCAGCTGTAGCCTTCCTCCTCCACTGTCAGAAACCTCTGTAATACCAGGCAGCACTTTACAAACGTAAAGTGCCTATCAGGGGCACTGTCTCAAGCCAGAGGCATTGTGGGAATGGGTTGGTGGGTTTCAGGCTGATCAAGGTCTGAAGATGGAGTCCTTAAATTTCCCAGTAAGCCAGGGTCTGTGGCCCTCAGCTCAGGTCCCCGGTCTTCTCGGAGGAGAGAGGCACTCTGAGTGACAGTCAAGGAGGGGTCAGTGATGTAGGCCAATAGCGTATCACTTCATAGCCCCCAATCCACACAAACCTTCAGTGAGAAGAAGGCAAGGGTGATCATCCCCCACAAAGCCTTGGCACACACATACACAGAACAAGAGTTGAAATCTCATGCCAACCACTCCTCCCTAGGGAAAGGAGGGGGACCTAAGCTGACACAGGAATAGGCCTGCCCCTCTCTAGTGTGCACAGGTGCCCATGCAGGACAGACACCTCTCTAGAGGATGTGGGGAAGATTATGCTTACTAGATCCGGGGCACCTGGATGATCCAGCGCATGTTGGGTGAGTAGACCTTGTGCTGGATAAACCATCGGGCTAGGTTGGGCCATTCTTCGGGACTTCGGCCATAGATGGAAAGGCGTGGCTCTGAGTACTGGTACTTGCTCTCTTCTAGCTCCCGGGCCACCTCCTGGTACCAAAAAGAACCAGGTCAATCCAAGAGCCTCCCAGCTACACAGGAGACCCAGCCCCCAGTTGCGCTCAAGGCTCACTTGGCCAAGCGGCTGAAGGCAGTCAGGCCAGTAGATCTATATCCCCCACGCCGCCATGTAGGTACCCACCCCCAGCACAGGTTCCTTCTGGGATGAAAGCTGTGGGTCTGCATCTTCACCTTGTGGAGCCAGGCCAGGCAGCAGCCATGTCTATACACAGCCAACCCGCACCCTGCCAAATTCAAGCTCCAAACAGAAATGGCAGGGCACCAGAAGGCTGTGAACTCTTCCAGGATAGATGTCCTCCCCTCTTTCCTGAAACTGGCAAGCGCAGCACTGGCTGGCTGCCTATGCTCAGGAACAAGGCCCAAAGGCTTGAGCACATGGGCTCCTCAGAGCTGGCCTCAGCTACTAAAAAGGTGACTAAAGAAGCATTTGGGTAAGGGAAGGGACCCCAGGCTATGCAGGCTCCCATTCTTTATAGCAGATGCCATCAGGTGCCTGAGGAGGCCCTGGAGAGGCAGAGGACTCACTCACCTTGACCATTCGAGCAAAGTACTCTCCGCCTAGGTAGTTTTCAGTCTTCAAATACAAGTCACGCAGCTCACTGGCCCCCACAGGGTTGTATTTGGAGTTGAACTTGTCAAATCGATGGAATGTCTGCCGACCCTGGAGGAAGGAGACTGCTCATAGCTGCCAAACACATTCCCCTCTGCAGACTTACCAGGTACCCTTATGTGTGTCCACACTGTACAGTGCTCCCTGTGGCTTCGTGTATGAAAGCCTGCAGTTTCTGACGGCCAGGACCATATTCCCTCAGTCCGGGCCTTTGGAGAGTGCTCTATGAAAGTGTATCCAAGACCCTGTGCTCCAAGGAACCCTGGTGAGGAGCATGGCCTGCTGGGAGAGCAGATAATTTGAGGCCAGTGCACTACCAACTATAAAAGACTTCCATCCTTTTTAAGGCTAATATTCCACTGTGTGTATATCTACCACATTTTGGTTGCGCTTCATCTGTTGAGCACTTTTGGTTACTGTGAGTAGTGCTGCTGTGAACATCTGTGTGAAAGTGTGCACTCCAGTCCCTGCCTCTAATTCTTTGGAGTGTGGGCCCAGGGTTGGAAGTCCTGGGGTACATGGTATTTCTACAGCTAAATTTTTGAGGACCTGCCATATTGAATCACCATTTTATAGGCAAGGAAATAAGAGTTCAAGTGAGTTGCTTAAAAGCATATAACTCCTGTGAGGTAGAAATGAGATTAGAACTTGGACCCCTCTGACACCAGGTCATGTATTCCTCCTCTGTCCCACAGTCGCTCCAAGCCCTGTTAGCCTCTGACATCAAACTCCCTAAAGTCCCTCCATAAACAGGGAGTTGCTTCTCTAGCTGGTCACTCTCTAAGCACAACATGGCCCTTTCTCCAGGGGCCACATTCCCAATCCAGGTGCTTTCTGCTACAGACACCCAGGGCAGAAGCTCACTCACTGCGTGGACGTCCAGTGAATCCACAGTGAGGTCGTAGGGGTCCATGTGCAGGCTGTCAAACACCTGCCGAAGCGTGATCTTCCGGCCTAGCTTCTTAGCCACAGTCCTGTCGGGCTCCGTCTGGTATGTGTGTTTGATGAAACGCAGCAAGTGCTTCTGGTTCATGCAGGCTGCTGCGTGGATGTGCGTGTCCACCTGGAACACAGTGCCCACGGGGTGGTGAGCCAGGCCACCTTCCCTGGCAACAAGCCCTCCATGTGGCAGACATAGCCTCAGCACCATCTGGGCCATGGACACAGCACATGCCAATCCAGGATGCCCTCAGTTTGACCCTAACCTGAGCCTCTACCAAGCTTCGTACTCGCAGGAAATGGCACATCTGGCACCCAGCTGTTCACACTGGAAACTCTAGGAGTCATTCTCAACCCTCCCCTTCCTCTTCCGCCCTCCCTCCACACCTGTCAGGCCCATCAGTTCTCTTTTCATACAGATCTCAAATGTACACAGCATTCTCCAACCTCAGGGCTACCACACAAGTCCAAGTCTTCAGGCTCTCACTCCTGAATCCACAATGAGCGTATAACTGGCTTTGCTGCTTCTGCTGCACTGGTTCAAGCACTCTCTCCACACAGAAGCTAGAAAGGATCCGTTTTTACCTAATTTGTTTCTGTTATTAATCTTAGGGTAAGGGCCCTGCTGATACCCGGTCCCTTCATTTCCTCAGCCTGCTCATCCCTACTCACTCTTTTCACTGTGCTCCCCTCCAGGACAGCCACCTGGCTACTTTTTTTTTTTTTTTGTCGGTCATGGGGCTTGAACTCTGGGCCTGGGCACTGTCCCTCAGCTCTTCAGCTCAAGGCGAGCACTCTACCACTTGAGCTACAGTG